AACAAACTATTAGATAACTATCATATGATAAATAATTTCACACGGTTAGATAACTATTAAACATAAATAATCATAACAAACTTTTATACAAATTTTTCCATAATACATAAATAACGATTTTTTTAAATATATATATACCAAATCTGTAAAATTTTAGGCAAAAAAAGACCTTATGTGTGTATGTTTTTAGGCACGTCTAATATGTTCCAATAATATCACATGCGCCGCTTAATTTAAATAATTTAAATATTTTGTTACCAATCTACAATTTCTGTGTAAAAAATTAAAAATTTCAATGCATTCGGATCCTTTATTTTTTATTTAAATTAGTTTATTATTAAATAAGTTAATGTTTGCAATATTAGGAACATATTTCGAATTGCCCATTGCTGATATAAAAAAAAATAAAAAAAAAATAATTATGTACTAATCGGATACGATCAACATAACTCTATAACAAATGCAATTAACAACAACTCTTAATTGGATAATTAAGTGAAGATCTTATTTATCCCTACTTAAAACTAATTAGTATTATATGGAATAAAAGATTTGTTGTTATCCTTTAGAACAAACTATTAGATAACTTATCATGTGATAAATTAATTTAGGCACGTTCAATATGTTCCGATAATTCTGTTATATACATAGAGATATCTATATCTATATCTATATAAAAAAGGTTGTTGTTAAATTTATTTTTAGAAACTTTGACCAAATAAATAAATCAGTTGACTTTCTATGTTTAGACTATTTAAAACAATGGGTAAGAACCATAATAAATCGAAAGATAAGGCTTTTTAAATTTTCAAAGATAAGGGTAAGAACCATATAATCAAACTTCAAAACAAATTAATTAAAAAATTGATATTTGAGTCAATCCAACAATTGATAGAAACTGTAACAGAAAATTAAATATTTTAGGACCACATTAGAATTGCATTTATGAAAATTCCACACCAATCTTATCATAGAGTTTCCACATTAATAAAACTTCTAAACAAATAAACCAATAATTTATAATATAGTTCATGTACACTTATATTATCATAATTTAAACAAGACGTGTACATTACCTCGGTTATCATAATTGAAGCAAGTTTAAACAACATAATTAGTATAAGAGTCCTTAATATTTGACATTAAATAATATAATAATATATTTTATCATGCTATAGCACTAACAAAAATTGAGTTAATGAGGAAACACGTGTAATGGGCAAGTTAAAACACGTTATAAAATCTAAACACCTCAATCAATTAATTAATTATCTAAATTATTTTAACTTATCTTATCATCAAATCACAATTACTCAAAAACTTTAAATGACGTTTAATTATGACAAATGTGTACTAATTGGTCATCTTTCTACACGGATAAAAAATCTTAACGACGTAACTAATTAATTATTTTTCAAATCATTTGGACTTATCTTATAATCAAAACACAATTTGTTCAAAATTTTATTTTAAATTAATATAAACATAAATGTACGAATCACAATAGATGTGATCGATTTGTTTAGAAATGTTCATTTTCTGCAGGTAAAAAAAAAATAAAGAGATGACAACACGACATAGAGAATTGGTCGGGAGAGGACAGGAAAAAATGAAATGAAAGCCCTAAAAATCCGAACTTATGGCCTAATGTTTGTTTAGTTAGTGTCGATGTTATGGAACATAGTCCAATACTTGATATATTTTATGGAAAATGCTACAAGTATATATAATAAATGTACATAGAAGTGTAAATAATACTTATATGGAATGAGGTCCACTTGATTTTTTATTTTTGGTGGGTCTCACTCACTGTGAGTGTTATTTACACTCGTATGTACTGGTCACATACTATATATATCTCGTACATTTGTTTTATTCATTTATTAATTTTATAATCGTCACGCTCAATTTTACTATGACTATATACAAAATTACCTTCGAAAAAGCACATAAATTATAATTTTTCCGTGCATCGCACAGGGGATTACTAGTTATAAAACAATTGTATAACAAATAACTAATAGAGTATTTACTATTACAATGACACACATTTTTATGAATTATAATTAGTAATTTTATTATTTTCAAATATGATATTTACTTATATATTTTACTTTAATATTATAACGACATTCAATTTTTTGTATATCTTGTTAAGTAGAGACATAAGTCTGTATATAGTCATTTATGTTTATACTTAATCTCTGCAAATTTTTTTGAACTATAGAATTACATTAAAATAAAAGAGAGAAAGAGAGATATTAAAAATTATATAGTCCTCTAGAGATATCATTCCACCCGAGTCAAGTCAAATACCTCATATTCAAGCTCGTGCTCATTTAATAAATGAGGCGACTCGACTAGACCATTTAATAACCGAACAGAAATGTAAACGTGATCGGCCCATATAATAAGTCCAATCTGACTCAACTCATTATAAAAATAAGCTCTAATGATT